ATTGTCCAAAACATGACATAAATTTATTTAATTTTAATAAGCAATAGCATAAAATCGATGTAAAATTTCCCTGGGAACACGATGGTGCAATTATTTTTTTGCTACTTGCCGTAGTTTACGAGATATTTGCGAAAAACCTTATTTTTTTAAGGTGTTTTGACCTTTTGACCCCTTTCCTGACCACCTAGGTCAAAAATTTTTGCGGATTGGGATTCCTGAGGGTCGAAAACATATTTGCGCCCAGGTTTGATCGACAGAGGAAAAAATGGAGGTTCAGCCTTCATTTCAATGGACTGTACGTGCTTTCTAAAGCTACACAGTTAGTTTTCATTCTTATCCAAATTCTTCCGTTAAAGGTATCAGCGCTTTTGGGTTTGGTGGGGCCAACTGTCACGTTCTTATACGTCGAAATGCAAACAAAAAAATCGATAAGGGACCGCCAGAAGATGACGCTCTCGCAAGGTTAGTTTGCTTAAGCGGAAGGACTGCAGAAGCGGTAACTACCATTCTTGACGAAATATCCAGCCACGAGATCGATGTTGAGTACATAAGGTTATTACACGATGGTTTCAGGTAATATCTTTACAGTAATAAATATTAAGTAATACTGGTCATGGTGGTTTTACAGAAAGAATATAAATAACCATTTATATAGAGGGTACACAATAGTATCAAAATCAGGAGAGATGAATAGATCTGTAAAGTTCTACCCAGGAGATTTAAAACCGCTGTATTTCGTATTTGGTGAGTTACACAACTGGTACGAAGTGGGCAGCCAATTAATGACTTTGCCTATTTTCTCTGAGTCCATAAAACGGTAAGTGAAAGTAGTAAAGAATAAAGTAATTTTAAATCTAAATCTAAAAAGTGTATCACCATTTTCCAAAAGGTCTGTGCTGTATTGAATCGAAACAGTCCAAACGTCAATGGAAAATGCCATGGTAATATTCTGTAGACCAAAATAAGAATATCTACAAATTTCCACATCATTAACTTCGTTCAATATTTGTATACAGGGTGTGGCGTGTATAATGTATAAAAATTAAACTATAGCTTCCTGATGATATTTGTAACAGAAAAGTCGTCTTTTTTTCGTAAAATAAAACTTACCATTTCTAGAGAAAATGTTGAAAATGATCTCCATTGGCGCGGATACAGGCATGGCACTGACGCACCCAATTTTAGCGAATATTTTCTCCAATTCCAGGTATTCCCCTAATTGTGTCAGCAGCTTCAAGTATACGTTTTCGCAATTCCTCCACCGTAGCAATTAGAGTATTGTAAACCAAGTGACTCCAAAGATAATAGTTCATTGGAGTTAGATCGGGTGACCGAAGTGGCTACGGCACAAGACCAAAGCGTCCAATCCATTGCTGAGGAAACATTTCATTCAAAAGTGTCGTTACTTTTCGAGTACCGGTTCTCCAAAAAGTCAGTATATGTTGGTCCATTTAGTCGTCTTTCAAAGAAATTGGGACCCACAAGAACATCGCCTATTATGCCAGCCCAAACATTTACCGAGAACCAATGTTGAAAATGAGTTACCCTAATCTCGTGAGGTTTTTTATCGGCCCATATGTGCATATTATGGAGATTCACTTCATCACCGGAAAATGTCGCCTCATCTGTTACACAAACATAAGCAGGAAAGTCCACTTGATTGGCACATTGCCGTAAAAACCATCTGCAAAAAGGCATTCGTTGATCACAATCCGGGGGTAAAATATGTTGAACTGGTTGCAGATAATAGGGGTGCAACAGCTGGCGCCTTAAGATGCGATGTACGGTACGAGATGAGGTTCCTACTTGCTGTGTGAGTCGTCGAGTACTAATTGTAGGGCCTTCGTCAAGATTTTCCAACACTGCATCTTCAACATTAAAGTTCACTTGCTGATCACGTCCTTCTCCTCGAGGAATAACACTTCCCGTATCTCGCAGCCGCTGAACGCACTGTAGGATTGTATTTGTACATGGGGGGAGCCGCGAGCGCATTTTCTCCATTTGCACCATACACTAACACCATATCGACACTTTCGGAAATAGTAAATGCATTGTAGCCCAGGGTCGATAATTTTTGAAACCAAAAAAAATTATAGTAGGATGAAACCCATTGGAAAAGAAAGAGAATATAACAGAAATGAAAGGAAAAATAATTTACGGGCGATCTGAGTTCGGGAAGGGGTAGGGGGTGAGTTTTTAAGGGTAAAAAACGGTTTCCCTTGATTTCCAGAAAAACTACAAGTCTTATGGAATAAGTTAAATGACAAAGTTGTAGGTAATAAAAAGATCTACTACTTTTGTATTTACACTTTTTTCACATAACCTCAAAATTTATGTGAAAAATTCAAATAACCAAGTTTTTGGTTTTTTATTTTTATCTTTTACAAAAAAAAAATTGTTTTCACGAAATTTGCTGAAAACACCTATTATGTCCCAAACACGCTGTAATTTTTTTGATTTGAAATATTTATTTTTTCATCTTATTTTTACTTAATATCGAAAAAGCACCCTAATTTTCAATCGAAAATTCTCACGTCAAAATATTTGCTTTTTTTAAAAACGTCGGTGGGCTTTTTCTTCGTTGAAATCTCTACTTTCTGATGGTGTAAAAAATATATACATTACTATGGTAAGTTTTCTCAGGAACAAATATCATCAGGATGCTGTAGTTTAATTTTTATAGATTATACACGCCACACCCTGTATAATACTTGAGTTTCAAGATAAGTAATAAGTCTCATAAATAGCTCTAACCATAACTTTTATTATAAGTTCTTAAGCTGATTTGTGTATTATCTACAAATAATGCAGTTTTATTTCTCGGATGGTCAGTTTCCAGCTTAGGCGTTTCCTTTCATATTACATGCGTGTAAGTGGGAAAAGGTATTATTTTCACTTGTTTATTATTCCAGTATGTTTTTAAAAATGAAATCATGTGCGAGTGTTAGTGGCAATTGGGGTAGTTCTTAAACAAAAGGTATCAAGAACGTTGTAGGTAAACAATGTTTGTCGGAATTCGAGCACTGATAGTCCACGAACTTCCTCCTAAATTTATAACAGACACTGTTTATACTGGGCGGCCATGATATTATCTACAATAGACAAATTGTCGGATTTGGACCATTACAAATCGTTTTTCGTCGTCGCTTATTCGCACAAAACAAATGAGATATAGAAGTGAACGACAGAAAACATGTGACCTGTCGATGTCGATAGAACGGTGTGACTTCACAACCAATGAGAAACCGCTTTGCTGCAAGTGATAAATTATGAATTTTGTGCTAATTTTGAGAGCCATTATTTTATTTCATAAAAACAATGTGAATATAATTTATATGATGTTTGCAATACTTTTAAAATAACTACCAACTTTTATATTGAATTTAAAATTTCATACAAGCTTCCTTCATATTACGAAGATGCATGTTTTATTTAGGCCTTGAATTTATAGAAAATACACAATCTGGAAATTTATTCACCAGTTCAATATTTCCCTAGGATACAACAGCAATTATCGAACAATGGTACTGATATTTTTGAAACGCTACTCAAAAAAGTTCCAAAAAAGTACATAGACCCAGTAATAGGTAATATCGTAGTACAAATCGGTATAATAGATGTCCTGAAGCTGTTAGACATGAAACCAAAAGATAGCATTGGCTTTAAATTTGGAATACTGCTCTCTGCTTACTACAAAGAGATACTAACTTTGGATGAAACTATTAATTTAGCTGTCAATAACGGTAAGGGTACTGTTAATGGCAGAACCTACAATAAATTGAATGTCGATCAAGTAAGTTTAGTTGCATTGCAATTTTTTTGGATAAAAATATAATATTTTCTAGGACTATAATGGAAGTGAAGCTGAAAAATCTTTAAAGATCATAGACTTTCCAGTTTTAAGTAAGTAGTAATAGTAGAAAGATCTATAATCTTATTTTCAAATAAATTTTTGTCCTAGCAGAAGATCTAGCATCCACTGATTTTGAAAAAGAAGAATACCTCGACAAATTTGATCTGGATTCAGTAGTAATAGCAATCGGAAAAGTGCCAGTTGATCCCTTCGAAGATTTTGACACAGTCTCAATGTTTGGAAATCAAACAAATCATCTCGTCGAGCTTCTAGAATGTCTAGGAAGGTATAATACTGAAATTATCTAATGAAAAAATACGCAAAAAGTTCTGTTGTAGGCTATACGAGCTCGGATATAATCCTCAGATCAGCAGACTATATCCGTCTGTCGATTTCCCGGTCAGTAGAGGTACCAGGATGGTTTCCCCATACGTCAAATGGAACCACAAGAGAGATAGAGACGTGTCGCAGTTCGATCCGAAAAATAATGGTGCGAACAATTACAGGATTCAAGTCGCAGATCAACAGTGGGCGTACGTCACAGGGCATGTCATAAATGGTAAGTAGTTCCTCATTTAATACGTTTAGCAAAAACTAAACATGTTTTGGATTTAATGGTTTTTAATACAGTAGTAGTTGTTTCGTCCAATATCATCACTTTAATATCTGTGACAGTAACCCTTCGTCAGTCAAACCACCAGACATATACCGGTTTTGGATTCATTGCTTTTTAATACAGGTGCCTGTGACAAGTAACTCTGCCATAGTAGAACGTATTAAGTCGTAATGACCATTGATCGATGTAGTACTCTATCGCGTTTTATGGATTCTTGTCTTCCACATTGCCAACGATTTATTCAAAAGAACTACCGTCAATACCAACGTGATCTCCATAGTGACTTTTAGGTATGCCCCAAATGTGCTCAATTGACCTAAAAATGTATTGGTGAAAGGGGAAGACGAAGCACTTGATGCCATATTTATCAGACAGCGTATCAGCCACATGTACAGTATGTGGTTTATTCTGCAAAATACAACAAGCAACCAAAAATATGTTTAAAGTACTGTTACGCCAACTTAATTTGTATGACGCCTAACAACTGCATTTTCAAAATTCAAATTCAACTCCTCCTTTTTGAAGGTAATAATAGAAGTTGCCATTTTTCATGCCCTCAAAACAATGAAAACTTGACAAGAAAATCATCCTCTCATTGTCTTAAAGGCGATTCTAGCAATTTTTATCAAAATGACCTTCACAGTCAACTCCAAGGTCGTCATGTGACGGTCCTTGATGTCCCAAACAACTTTTAAAGGTGTAGGTATGGTGGTTTAGTCTATCACACATTGATTTTCTTGCTGTAGCACTGTGAATTATCACGAGTATAACAGCGGTGTGAAGATAAAATAATTCATCAAGCCTCAAGCAAGAGAGCAACATTAAAACTCTTTCATTTCAGGTAAAAACCTGTTTCCTGCATCAGGATACCTGTACATAGTGTGGGAAACTTTTTCGTTCCTCAAAGGAATGTCCATGAACACTATGGACATAGTATTCGAGAATTGCAAATTCGTCAGAGCTACAACGGTATCTGAAGAGCGCGACCTAGTATTGCAAGTAGCAATCCATGCTGGTAGCGGCAATTTCGAGGTTGTGGAGGGAGATTTGACAGTTGCTACGGGACGTATCTCTATACTGGAAGATCGGGGGGAAGATCCTTCAGCTATAGAATGCAGAAAAACAACGGATTCGGAAGATTTTCACGTTCTTCTGGACGAAAAAGATGTTTATAAGGAGCTGCGATTAAGGGGATATAACTACATGTATGTTTTTTCTCTCTTACTCGTATAAAGATATAGTTGGTCTTAAGTCTAACATAGAAAGTGTTTTAAAAATACTGTTACGAACACAGCTAAATAAATAAATAAATATTTAATTTTTTGAAGAAGAAAAATATTAATTTTTGCAAAAAAACATTTTCAGTTTAAAAAAATTAATAAAAAATGCAAACATTATCCTTTAATTGTTTTTTAACAAAATTCTTGGTCATTGTATTGGTTGAGATTTAAAATGTCTACTGGTATTGTACTTTAGATTGTTCTATTAGGGGAGAATTCCGAGGGATCGAAACTTGCAATTCGGAGGTAACAGAATGTCACATCAAATGGGGACACAACTGGGTTACTTTCCTGGACAACATGATTCAAATAAAGATTCTGCAGTTGGACACGAAATCGTTATATATACCCGTGCATGTCTCTAAGCTAGTCATACAAGCCAAACGGCATCTTGGTATGATCGATTCCGACTCTGCAGCTTCAGATAGAGTAAACACTCTTCCGGCCTTCAATGACACAGTAACTGGAACCATGAGGTAGGCTGATACTAAGTGTAAAGTCTAAGTTAAATATTCCCTACCATGTAACTCTGGACAATTTCTTAACTAATACTTTCTCTTGGTGCTTAGATGTGGAGGTGTAAGCCTTACGGGCTTGATATTGGAATCTATATCAAAGAGAAAAGATATTTCAGTGCCGGTGCTAGAAAAATATACGTTCGTTCCAAATACAGCAGAATTAGACATCCAAAAGTCTGTAAGGGTGAACATCCAAATAATCTTCGAAAACACGCTGATATCCAAGTATAAGGTCATTGAACTCATAGACGAATTTACTCCCAAAATCTCTGTGCCTTTAACACCCATCATTAAGCTGGTGTCGGAGGACCAACCACTGATACAACAGACCTTTAAGGAATATACAAACTATCCACTTGGTGCTGATGGGGACATAGGAAACAAGAAGCTAAAAACTGAGACGGATTGTCTACTCGTTATCGTGTCAACAATTTCAGAGAGGATGGACGTAAGTATAAGTCGTACCTTTTAATTATAACCTTGAATACAGGTCATATTTATACAGGGTGGTCCGTTTTTTATACGTGCCCATAAAAAAAACAATTGAATGTTGCATAACTGAAACTAGTGACCGTAAAAATTTTCTTTCGACGAAAATGGCCTCCTACCTTCTTATCCCCAGACGCTAGATGGCATTTTCTAAAATCGCTATTTTCAGTTTTTTTTACAATATTTCAGAAACGGCAGCAGATGTCTTTGATCTGTTTGGTTTATTTCAATGACCCTTAAAAGGCACAACTTTTTTCTAGCCACCCTGTATATCTTATGGTTTGCCAGATGCCAATGGTGAGCCATGAAAAAAGGACCACCCTGTATGGAGGCTATCTTTGATCTTTAAAAACATAAGCTTTTTCACAAATTCCGTCCTAACAATTTTTTTTTCCCCCGACCACCATATCCCAGTTACTGTAGCTGAAAATATAGTAATACCTCCGAATTTTTTATAACTGCATCGAATTTTCTCAAAATTTAGAATTAGGCTAATCTTACCCTCCACTTCAAAACTTATATATGCGCTAAGTGTGCTTTTCGTTCTTAAGCGGTGAAAACCACCCTTTATTGGAAAAAAAGAGAAAATACAAATTTAAGCATTTTATGTAGTCAAATCCTTTTTATTTTTGCAGTATGTGTAATTTGACGTGCTATCTAACATGAAAATTAATGTATCCCAAATTTTCAACCCAGAAAAACTTTTAAAAACCACCACTTTGGATGAAAATAATATAAAAAAAATTTTTCAACTTGAAACGTTTTAATCATGCATTTTTATCAAATTAAAATTGATTTCTTGATTAAAAAATCTTTTTTATCGATTGCAACATTTCAGCCCTTAAAAAATACCCCTTCTTTCGAAAATTAAATGAAAAAATATTGTTGAAAGAGTAGAAACATTTTAAATGTGCATTCGTATTAAATAAACATTTATTCCCTTCTTATAAAATAATTTTGAATTGATTGCAACTTTTCAACCCTTAAAAATTACCCCTTGCATTTATAAATTTTTATTTTCCTTTTTAATAATAATAAATCCAAAAAAATATTATAATGTGTGTGTGTGTGTGTGTGTGTGTGTGTGTGTGTGTGTGTGTGTGTGTGTGTGTGTGTGTGTGTGTGTGTGTGTGTGTGTGTGTGTGTGTGTGTGTGTGTGTGTGTGTGTGTGTGTGTGTGTGTGTGTGTGTGTGTGTGTGTGTGTGTGTGTGTGTGTGTGTGTGTGTGTGTGTGTGTGTGTGTGTGTGTGTGTGTGTGTGTGTGTGTGTGTGTGTGTGTGTGTGTGTGTGTGTGTGTGTGTGTGTGTGTGTGTGTGTGTGTGTGTGTGTGTGTGTGTGTGTGTGTGTGTGTGTGTGTGTGTGTGTGTGTGTGTGTGTGTGTGTGTGTGTGTGTGTGTGTGTGTGTGTGTGTGTGTGTGTGTGTGTGTGTGTGTGTGTGTGTGTGTGTGTGTGTGTGTGTGTGTGTGTGTGTGTGTGTGTGTGTGTGTGTGTGTGTGTGTGTGTGTGTGTGTGTGTGTGTGTGTGTGTGTGTGTGTGTGTGTGTGTGTGTGTGTGTGTGTGTGTGTGTGTGTGTGTGTGTGTGTGTGTGTGTGTGTGTGTGTGTGTGTGTGTGTGTGTGTGTGTGTGTGTGTGTGTGTGTGTGTGTGTGTGTGTGTGTGTGTGTGTGTGTGTGTGTGTGTGTGTGTGTGTGTGTGTGTGTGTGTGTGTGTGTGTGTGTGTGTGTGTGTGTGTGTGTGTGTGTGTGTGTGTGTGTGTGTGTGTGTGTGTGTGTGTGTGTGTGTGTGTGTGTGTGTGTGTGTGTGTGTGTGTGTGTGTGTGTGTGTGTGTGTGTGTGTGTGTGTGTGTGTGTGTGTGTGTGTGTGTGTGTGTGTGTGTGTGTGTGTGTGTGTGTGTGTGTGTGTGTGTGTGTGTGTGTGTGTGTGTGTGTGTGTGTGTGTGTGTGTGTGTGTGTGTGTGTGTGTGTGTGTGTGTGTGTGTGTGTGTGTGTGTGTGTGTGTGTGTGTGTGTGTGTGTGTGTGTGTGTGTGTGTGTGTGTGTGTGTGTGTGTGTGTGTGTGTGTGTGTGTGTGTGTGTGTGTGTGTGTGTGTGTGTGTGTGTGTGTGTGTGTGTGTGTGTGTGTGTGTGTGTGTGTGTGTGTGTGTGTGTGTGTGTGTGTGTGTGTGTGTGTGTGTGTGTGTGTGTGTGTGTGTGTGTGTGTGTGTGTGTGTGTGTGTGTGTGTGTGTGTGTGTGTGTGTGTGTGTGTGTGTGTGTGTGTGTGTGTGTGTGTGTGTGTGTGTGTGTGTGTGTGTGTGTGTGTGTGTGTGTGTGTGTGTGTGTGTGTGTGTGTGTGTGTGTGTGTGTGTGTGTGTGTGTGTGTGTGTGTGTGTGTGTGTGTGTGTGTGTGTGTGTGTGTGTGTGTGTGTGTGTGTGTGTGTGTGTGTGTGTGTGTGTGTGTGTGTGTGTGTGTGTGTGTGTGTGTGTGTGTGTGTGTGTGTGTGTGTGTGTGTGTGTGTGTGTGTGTGTGTGTGTGTGTGTGTGTGTGTGTGTGTGTGTGTGTGTGTGTGTGTGTGTGTGTGTGTGTGTGTGTGTGTGTGTGTGTGTGTGTGTGTGTGTGTGTGTGTGTGTGTGTGTGTGTGTGTGTGTGTGTGTGTGTGTGTGTGTGTGTGTGTGTGTGTGTGTGTGTGTGTGTGTGTGTGTGTGTGTGTGTGTGTGTGTGTGTGTGTGTGTGTGTGTGTGTGTGTGTGTGTGTGTGTGTGTGTGTGTGTGTGTGTGTGTGTGTGTGTGTGTGTGTGTGTGTGTGTGTGTGTGTGTGTGTGTGTGTGTGTGTGTGTGTGTGTGTGTGTGTGTGTGTGTGTGTGTGTGTGTGTGTGTGTGTGTGTGTGTGTGTGTGTGTGTGTGTGTGTGTGTGTGTGTGTGTGTGTGTGTGTGTGTGTGTGTGTGTGTGTGTGTGTGTGTGTGTGTGTGTGTGTGTGTGTGTGTGTGTGTGTGTGTGTGTGTGTGTGTGTGTGTGTGTGTGTGTGTGTGTGTGTGTGTGTGTGTGTGTGTGTGTGTGTGTGTGTGTGTGTGTGTGTGTGTGTGTGTGTGTGTGTGTGTGTGTGTGTGTGTGTGTGTGTGTGTGTGTGTGTGTGTGTGTGTGTGTGTGTGTGTGTGTGTGTGTGTGTGTGTGTGTGTGTGTGTGTGTGTGTGTGTGTGTGTGTGTGTGTGTGTGTGTGTGTGTGTGTGTGTGTGTGTGTGTGTGTGTGTGTGTGTGTGTGTGTGTGTGTGTGTGTGTGTGTGTGTGTGTGTGTGTGTGTGTGTGTGTGTGTGTGTGTGTGTGTGTGTGTGTGTGTGTGTGTGTGTGTGTGTGTGTGTGTGTGTGTGTGTGTGTGTGTGTGTGTGTGTGTGTGTGTGTGTGTGTGTGTGTGTGTGTGTGTGTGTGTGTGTGTGTGTGTGTGTGTGTGTGTGTGTGTGTGTGTGTGTGTGTGTGTGTGTGTGTGTGTGTGTGTGTGTGTGTGTGTGTGTGTGTGTGTGTGTGTGTGTGTGTGTGTGTGTGTGTGTGTGTGTGTGTGTGTGTGTGTGTGTGTGTGTGTGTGTGTGTGTGTGTGTGTGTGTGTGTGTGTGTGTGTGTGTGTGTGTGTGTGTGTGTGTGTGTGTGTGTGTGTGTGTGTGTGTGTGTGTGTGTGTGTGTGTGTGTGTGTGTGTGTGTGTGTGTGTGTGTGTGTGTGTGTGTGTGTGTGTGTGTGTGTGTGTGTGTGTGTGTGTGTGTGTGTGTGTGTGTGTGTGTGTGTGTGTGTGTGTGTGTGTGTGTGTGTGTGTGTGTGTGTGTGTGTGTGTGTGTGTGTGTGTGTGTGTGTGTGTGTGTGTGTGTGTGTGTGTGTGTGTGTGTGTGTGTGTGTGTGTGTGTGTGTGTGTGTGTGTGTGTGTGTGTGTGTGTGTGTGTGTGTGTGTGTGTGTGTGTGTGTGTGTGTGTGTGTGTGTGTGTGTGTGTGTGTGTGTGTGTGTGTGTGTGTGTGTGTGTGTGTGTGTGTGTGTGTGTGTGTGTGTGTGTGTGTGTGTGTGTGTGTGTGTGTGTGTGTGTGTGTGTGTGTGTGTGTGTGTGTGTGTGTGTGTGTGTGTGTGTGTGTGTGTGTGTGTGTGTGTGTGTGTGTGTGTGTGTGTGTGTGTGTGTGTGTGTGTGTGTGTGTGTGTGTGTGTGTGTGTGTGTGTGTGTGTGTGTGTGTGTGTGTGTGTGTGTGTGTGTGTGTGTGTGTGTGTGTGTGTGTGTGTGTGTGTGTGTGTGTGTGTGTGTNGTGTGTGTGTGTGTGTGTGTGTGTGTGTGTGTGTGTGTAGGTGTGTGTAGGTGTGCGTGTGCGTGTGCGTGTGCGTGTGCGTGTGCCTGTGCCTGTGCGTATGCGTCTGTGTGTGTGTGTGTAGGTGTGCGTGTGCGTGTGCGTGTGCGTGTGCCTGTGCCTGTGCGTATGCGTGTGTGTGTGTGTGTGTGTGTATACGTGTGTGTAGTATAGTGTGTATTATAATATAGTACTGGTTTATTGGAATATACACATTAAATACGTATATATATACAAAAAAGATCTAAATGCTTCAAAATTCTTGTTTGACCTAAATTTTCCTAAAATTATCACCTATACACGTGTTTATTTTTTTGACGATAACTTTCCTACTTTTTAAGATTTTTAATCGCACAAAGGCTCATTTTGCAGGGAACTGTAAGGGCTACGTGAACTATTGAGTTGATCTTTTTTTAGCCCTTCATTTTTAAGTTTGAAGGGTTTAAAGGGCTCGAAAAGGGTGGTTCTCTCAGTCATATGAAAACTTAAAATGGCAATATCTAGATTAATATTAATTTTAGAGGAATAAAAAATAAAGCAAAATCTTCAGCAAAAATAAAGCATTTTTTTTACTCTTGTATTTTTAAAATATTTCTTAAAAATCGAATTTTTATAAAAATTGGAAAAATTTACATTTTCAAAAATTAAGTTTTTTTCGAAATCATGCTTTGTAAGTAAGCTAAAGACCCAGAACATATTCTTTGAATATAAATGAAGAAATCTGTAAATGGATTGCATTTAATTTTAATTCCGTCGCCAAAGGCACAGATTTGTTTATTATTTTTTTCTTAAAAAAATGAGACTATCATGTTATTTCGATCATATTTCCGTTAATTTTGATTCTAGACTTTTAAAACAGCTCATTTTAAAGGTTTTCAAAGTACTTTAAACAAGGTTCAAATAGTTTTTTTCCTAATATTTATGGTTTTGGCGTTATTTAACGTTAACTGGTTCCAATTTAGTTTTTAGCCAACATATATAATAATGTTTAAAAATACATAACTCCGTTTATATTGCAATTAAAGAAAACCAAAATAATGCCATTAGATTTGTTTTTTATTACCTTTCTTTTTGTTCATTAAAACTTTTTCGTTAAATCCAATGAGTTAGTTGCAAAAAATTGTCCTAAAACAAGCACTTTTTCAGTAAAAAATCAACATTTTCAATGACGAATTACTCGGAAAGATTATCCAAAAAACTTTATATAACATTTGTTACTTAAAATTGACTCCTCTATCGATTCCTGTGGTTATTTTGGGCGTAAAAATTTCCACCCCCAAAAAAGGGTGGGAACCACCCCCAGGGCATAATCACACTTCGTCACTATATAAGTTTTGTTCCTTGAGGCATTCCCCACATTCAGTAAAAATTTCACGTCAATCGGTTCAGTTATAAAGAATTCGGAAGTAAAAACCCTGAGTAACTGGACTACCAGTCGGTTTTTAATAAAAGAAACCTAAACTGATAAGTTAGTTTCGATCAGGCTAGTTTTCTATTATATAAGACTTACAAAGATCTACATCGCAATGTTGCATTGTGAAATTGGATTTCACTACCAAAGCTAACACAAAGGGGCTTATTTTCTTTGGGAGGCATCATTCTATTAATATTGACTTCAGAAACCGTAGAACAAACAGTAGTGGGGGTATTAGCATTCTTGTCGTTCAAGAAAACTTCTTCGGAGGACACTTTACTGCATTTTCTGTCTTCCACACTTTGAATAACGAACATTCTTTGTCGTACATTTCTTTAGATAATTTTAAAGATGCGTCAAACTGAAAATCAAAAATACTGTACTTATCAACAATTATCCGCGACGACAGATGATGACAACCTAAACTTGACTGCTTAGCTTTTTAAAATATCTCTTCAAGTTTGTTCTTCGTTAAAAAACTGCAACTGTTACCACACATCTCGCTTATAATGGCTTATTTCACAACTACATTATAATGTACTTTTTTGGCATTAGTATCAAAACTAAATTGTTTATACTTCCAACGTACCAAAATAATTGTTATTCTAGATTCTAGAGCAATCACTTGCTGCTCTGAAACCAAATGGTTTCATCATATCTCGTGAACCTTTGGACTACGACTATTCCCACTTTAACCATCCTAGCCTTGTCGTTGTAACAGTACACAGAACATTGACGGAGACACTGGTACTTCTCCAAAAGCAGGGAAAAGTCAAAAACACAAATTACGTGAAAATAAACTCCAACGACTTCTCTTGGATACCCCTGGTGCAAGTCGCCTTGAGGAACAACGATGACTTAATACTACATGCAGAAAAGGAACACAATAATGGTATGCTAGGCCTCGTCAATTGCCTAAGGAGGGAACCAGAGTGCAGTCATCTTAGATGCCTGTACTTGATGGACGAAGACAAAGAATTCCAATCAACGCACCCCTTTATAGCTGAACAGCTTAAGAAAAATATGGCCGTTAATGTATACAAAAATGGACAGTGGGGGACTTACAGGTTTCTTCCACTGAATCAACAGGACACTATAGAACGAGAGCACTGCTTTGTAGATGCAATTTCACTGGGGGGTTTATATCAAGTTAAGTGGACGGAAGGATTTCTTCAGCATGACACGAAGATTCCCTCAGGAAGAATGCTAGTTCATGTGAGCAAATTTCATAAGTAAAATGTTGAGATAGCGTAACATAACAATGTTTCAGGTGTACTATGCTGCTACAATTTTCAAGGAAGGCATGATAGTCTCTGTAAAAAGACGCATTGTTGCCAACGGTCAAAAAAGGTTGGACCAGGAAAGTGCCAAGGGGTTCGAGTTTTCTGGAAGAGATGTTCGGTAAATGCAGAAGTGAATCTGAAAATTACTAATTATTACAAATTGTTGTTTCCTGTGTAAAAAATATCTACTTAGCCTTGACTGTACCTTGCCTATAGTTTAATAATGGCGACGATTTTCTATTGCTCAGAGCTTTCATAAATGATTATAAGCCCACGTGACTGTCGATCATAGGCAACCAATAATACACGAGTGGCACTATCAACTAAATATTGAACTGTTGTTCTTGTAGTGTGAGGGGTTGCCCCATTATGAAAGTAACCTACTTTTTTTCTTTAGAGGACAAAGGGTTATGGGTGTAGTTGCTTCTGAAGCACCGTCAAGTCTAGTGTTAGCCGACCCCTACCTGACCTTTAAAATACCGGATTCTTGGAATATGGAAGAAGCAGCCACTGTACCTACCGCGTATGTAACACTTCTATACGCTTTATTGATGGTAAGTTTAATTACGAGAATGTTTTAGGCATTATCTGATATATCATACGTTTTAATCCACATTTATTCACAGCGTGGGCAAATGAAGAAAGGGGAAACTATATTAGTCCATTCAGGATTTGGAGTATTTGGACAAGCAGCTATACGTCTTTGCTTATATTACAATTGCACCATATACACGACTGTCAATACGAAAGCCGAAAGAAAATTTCTAATAAGCACTTTTCCTCAACTAAAAGGTACTGTGGTCTTTGCCTCCGATAAACTTAATGATATATGATTTAAACTTTCAGATAACCACATTGGTTACTCACTCGACGAATCCTTTGAGCAGATGATTCATAAAGAAACAAACGGCAAAGGCATTGACATTGTACTTAGTCCTTTCTCAAAAATTACCATCGAAGCTTCACTAAGGTGCCTGGGTAAGGGTGGTAGATTTATAGAAGTGGACACAAGCAACATTTCCAGCAGCAATCACGTCAATCTGCTTCCTTTCCAAAAAGAAACTAGTTACCACAAAGTCACGGTAGATCAGTTCATGAAAGAAGGTGATACGGTAAAAACGGAAGTAGCTGGCTTATTCATCAAAGCGTTACAAGATGGAGCTGTTAAACCGTTGAGCAGAATCGTCTTCAAGTACAACGAGGTAGAAGCTTTTAGGTCCATGACTTTGAGCCATTCCGGGAAAGTTCTGATCAAGATACGAGAGCCTGAAGAAGAAATCGTCGTTGTGCCCACTGTGCAAAAGTTTCCTGTCGTGTCGAGGTAAGTTACTTTATTCCACTACTGGATAAAGTATCACTTTAGACGGTTCATATGTGTGGATAAATGTACGATTATAAGATTGCGGATAAAATATTTTTACTCATGCTTTAGTTTATTTATTTGTAACAGAAAATTTCAAGCTAGCTCTTTATTTTTGCTGTTCTAGATACCTCTGTGACCCTGAAAAAACGTACGTTATCCTAGGAGGCTTAGGGGGATTCGGTTTGGAACTGGCTAATTGGTTGGTACTTAGAGGAGCACAAAAATTGGTACTGAATTCGAGAAAAAGCATAAGTAACGGCTACCAAGACAGGCGAATTAAGTAAAAAAAAACAAAATAACTGTCCACGTTATTTCCGTTAACAATTCTGTGCTTCCAGGGTGTGGCGCTCCTACGGGGCAGAAGTGGAAATATCAACGGCGCCCGCAACAACAAGAATTGGCTGCAGAAAACTTTTAGAAGAGTCTTTACAGCTAGGCAGGATAGGAGCTATATTCAATTTGGCTGTAGTCCTCCAGGACAGTCTTTTTGAAAACCAGACGCAGGAAAAATTTTCGACGTCTTTTGCACCAAAGGCTATAGCTACAGCATTCTTGGATGAGTTGTCTAGGAAAATGTGTCCCGATCTAAGGTAGGTGGTAGCTACTTAAACTAAGACAAGAGAATACTCGGAAAAAAGTTTGTATACAGATAAACAATTCAATTGCAGCAACTGAAACAAGATTTCCCATAGCCGATGACTATTCAAAAGCGACCTAACTGTGGCCACTAACACTGACTAAAGTCTCTTGCTGCTGTAATAATTAAACTACGTTGCTACTGTTAATAAAACTTTCAGCCAAAAGTAGCTTTAATGCATTTAATATTTCAGCTTTAGCTTATATTTTATTGAAATAATTAAATCAAGTGAACTATATTGCTAGAGTAAGAAATTAAATTTTTAACAGATCGATGTTTTTTCTTTGCAGTGAGTTTGTTGTGTTCTCTTCTGTGTCTTGCGGAAGGGGTAACGTGGGGCAAACTAACTACGGAATGGCCAATTCTGTGATGGAGAGGATTTGCGAAAAAAGAAGACAGGATGGATATCCTGCGCTGGCTATTGAATGGGGTGCAATTGGGGAGGTTAGTGTTGATTATGTTTCACGTCATATAGACACCTTAAAAAGATACAAATAGATAATCTAACAACACTTTCAACAAGTAGATGGCGAGTTGTAGTAAAAGATTTCAGAAAGAAAAGAGATTGTTCCTCGATTCTTTTTGACAATTCAGTAGTAAAATATATACGAATGCAGTTAGTTGTGTACACAAACCATCTATGATTTTCATTTTCTTTTTTTGGTAAATTCGAAATTACACGTGCTTCCTATACAGGGAGTCCGGTAAGTACCTCCTAATCTCTCGGGAGTGTATAGGGGAGGTCAAAATAAAACTAGTCCTTCCTATAATTTTTTTTCCTAATGTGCCCCCTAACGGAGTTATGGGGGGTCAAAGGGGTACCTAGAAATTAACGTTTAGGGTTATAACTTTGAAACCACCCTGTATATTTTAATAAAATTTTCGTACGTTGTATTACACATGGAGCTCTACGATTTGATGCTAAAATCAACTTTTTGCTATTATCAGGTGTCCAGAAACGGACTGGCCCTATCACAATTTTTCTCAAAATTTTGACAGAAGTAATTTTATCAAACTGAAAATATTATTATTAGATACTCTGAAGGTTTTTCTTTAAAAATGGTACTCTTTATTTATTTCGAAAAAATGAACGGTTTGCGAGATAAATCGGTTTTGAAAAAAATTGGTAACAAATACAACAACAATTAAAATTTATTTTTTTTACATATTATTTCATGCATTTAATTTCTTTAACTTTATCAAGTCCAGAAATCTTTGAACGGGTTGGCTATACTTTATGAGCAAGTAGTGACCAATTAAAAATAACATTTGAAAAATAACTTACTTACAAGACATGCAACAAAGAACATTCAACAATGAACAAAGGTACCTAAATGTTACTTCGGTAGATGTTCAAAATGAGCACCCCGTACTTCAATGCACTTTCTAATCCTACGAATGTTTTCCCGGTGCACTTGAAATAATATTCCGTGATTATTGCGGAGATGGTCACAGTTCTGTGTTAGCCTCAGCAGAAGTTCCTCTCTACTATTTACGGGTGTTGAATAAACGTTATTTTTTAAATGACCCCACAGAAAAAAGTCTAATGGGTTTAGGTCGGGCGACCTAGGTGGCCATAATACAGGTCCGCCTCGACCTATCCATCGATCACCAAAAACATTCGTCAGATGTTGACGTACTAAACGATCAAAGTGGGGTGGTGCACCGTCATGCATGTACCACATTTCAGTTCTTATTTGAAGGGGCACTTCTTCTAACAAAATATTTAGATTTTCCTCTAAAAATTGCAAATAAAGAGCACCATTAAGTCTTTGCTCCAGAATAAATGGACCAATCAAATGATTCCCGATAATGCCAGCCCACACATTCACCATAAACCTTTGTTGGTAGCGAGTTTGAACTAAAGCGTGAGGGTTTTCTTCATCCCAGACATGTAGATTATGCGAATTAATTATGCCGTCTCTTGTAAAACCTGCTTCATCGGTGAACAAAATAGATGTACCAAAATTATGATTCCGAATATGATGCTGTAAAAACCAATTGGCGTATTGAAGTCTTTTTGGATAATCATCTGGAGACATAGCATGTACTTTTTGGATGTGGTACGGGTAAAGCAATTGTTCTTTCAGAGTTTCATGTACAGCCCATTTTGTAACATTGTTTTGCGCCGCAAGCTTCCTTATGCTATTTGAAGGATTATTAGCAACGTCTTCCAATATTTGTTCCTCTACATGAGGGTCTCGTACTCTCCTCGGGGCTCCTGCTCCACCACGGCGTGGCAAAAAGCTTCCTAAATAAAGGATTCGGAAGAAATTAGTTTCACTAACGTTTTTCACTATTTTTTTTTACCTGTTTCTCTTAAACTACGATCAACTCTTTCAAAAGTTTTTGGACTCGGCAAATGTCGACCCGGAAACCTTTCCTCATAAAGTCTTCTTGCCTCCACGGAGTTGCATAATGCTTCCCCATAAATTAGGTGCATATCAGCATATTCTGCACAGGAATATTCTTCCATTTTTAAATGTTATTTCTAACGGCTTAAAACGAATACCACAATAAAATTGAATTTTTATTCTGTCACGCGCCTTTGACAAGTACTTTAAAATCAACAGGGTCTAACAACGAAAACAATAGAAAAGAACTCCATGGAGACAAGAGCAATAATAATTTGTAGATGTATTTTGGTCATAGATGTTGATTTTACAAGAAACGGCATTATTCATTCCCTTAATTCACCACCAGTAAATGTTTATGGTGAATCTGTAGGCTGGCACTAGCGGGAATGATTTTATTGTAAAAAAATAAATTTTAATTGTTGTTGTATTTGTTACCAATTTTTTTCAAAACCGATTTATCTCGCAAACCGTTCATTTTTTCGAAATAAATAAAGAGTACCATTTTTAAAGAAAACCCTTCAGAGTATCTAATAATAATATTTTCAGTTTGATAAAATTACTTCTGTCAAAATTTTGAGAAAAATTGTGATAGGGCCAGACCGTTTCTGGAGCAAAAAGTTGATTTTAGCATCAAATCGTAGAGCTCCATGTGTAATACAACGTACGAAAATTTTATTAAAATATACAGGGTGGTTTCAAAGTTATAACCCTACATGTTAATTTCTAGGTACCCCTTTGACCCCCCATAACTCCGTTAGGGGGCACATTAGGAAAAAAAATTATAGGAAAGACTAGTTTTATTTTGACCTCCCCTATACGCTCCCGAGAGATTAGGAGGTACTTACCGGACACCCTGTATATTAGACAGCTTCAGTGTTGTTTGCACCATATGGTGCCCTTCGCGTTAGGTTTTATATCCTGATTCTCCACCAGCCAAAGAGAAACCGGTCTTTCGAGATCATGGCAAATGAGTACGGTTTCAGCTCCAGCTGTTGAAGAACGAATTTTGAATAGAGTACAGGACAATCCTGGAATATCACTTCAAAAAAATGGTCTTGGCAGAACATATCAGCTCCTAAATAGTATGGTTCAGATTTTATACACAGCTGATCTATCCTTACCATGTTCAAAGGGTTCACAATATTGGTCTAGCAAATTTTGGAGCAAGAGTGAAGTTTTTGGACTATCTTTGGAGAAATTATTTGTAAATGGGTTTATCTCGGTCTTCAATATTAACGTGTGGGATTTTAGAAGACAGGCTAATTTTGTCCTTTGGCTCTTCAGAAATCGCTCTGGTAATTATTTTGGTTCCAACTGCAATCGATCAGAGACAAAAGAATTTGAAGCAACAGCAATTTTGTAGGATGGACGTGGAAAAGTAGTAAACTTAGTGAATACAACGATATAATAGTCTATAATCGATTATTAGTTGAAAGAAACATGAGATATAGACGTGGACGGAAATATTGGACAAACCATCGCTAAAATGCTATTGGGCAATATAGGACTCGCTTAACCTAGAAAAAGAGGTTACTCAAGGGACAGTGGGAAAGTCTTAACGGAAATAAAGTTAGAGAAAGGTTCTAATGGCTGGGATTCCGAGCAGTTGTAAATGCTGACTGTTCCAGCATTAAGGAACTAGAAGTTGAAGCCAAATGAAACAGTAGATTGGAGCTTCCTATGAAAGAATTGCCGTAGACGTCGCCGGACTGTTTCTCCGGACAGAATCTTAAAATATTTACCTCCTCACTTCAGTAAATAGCCAGAGGTATGTATATCCTATCCCTAACTAAAAGAGATAGTGACAGTAGCAGAAGTTCTCGTTAAAAACCTGGAGTAGGTTTGCCAATTGATGAATATCAAAAACCAGAACAACACCACCTACGTCCACAATCTAACGGCAAGGTGTAACGATGTGACCCTGAAGAATCACCTAAAATAGTTGTCAAATCGACTGGGACCGACATGTGCTTTTTTTCTATTACACTATCGATCAACAGTCCATGAGACTATCGGTAGAACACCAACTAGCATAGTATTCGGTAGAGAATTGAGGCTACCCTTCGACATTGTTTTTGGTCACCTCAGCAGATGGGGCTAACACAGCGGAAAACTAGCCATCCGAGTCAGACAAAAGAATCAATGCCATCTATGGCATAGTTTGATAGAATATCGAGTTTGAAAGCAATCGGATGAAAACATGGTGCGATGTCAGAGTCAACACCAGTGGATTCCAGGCAAGAGATTTAGTATGGCTGTACAAACATGTAAGAGGAATCTGGAAAGCTCCAAAATTCCTGGGATGGCCCAATACGATAGTCAAAAGAATTACCGACTTGGTCTATAGGATCCCGAGAGAGACCCAAACGAAAATGAGGTTATTCATCTGGATTGTGTGACCCAAAACCGAGCACCCATCAGAGAGAATTCTCCTGATCGAGATGATCATCTTTAGGAGGAGAGCAGTGTAACGAAAATCACCCTAGTATTTACTTATTTATTTGATAACGTTCTATTTCTTTATTTCATGTCCTTAGAAGCGTAGATATTGCTCTATACTGTTCCACAAGTTTCTAGCATATGGAAATTACCGCACATGGAGAACTATACAATAAATAACTGTTTTCCTTTCATAGACCTTCAACAGTGTGTTCATCTAATCATTTTTAAGAGGTCTATGGGATATACACACTATTTCAACTTCAATATTTTATACATAGTTCCATGATTTTTAGGTAGGTTTAGTTGCGGAAGCGATGGAGCTTGAGGAAGTAGGTGGAACATTACAGCAAAACATTTCAAGCTGCCTCCAAGCCATAGACACTTTACTAAGTCAGAAAGAAACTACAATAGTGACTAGCTTCGTACCAGCAGAGAAACTTGAAGTGAATACAACTCGTAACATTTCTGATATAGTGACCAAAACCCTAGGTATGTAAATATCCTAAATGTGATGATGAAAATGCATGAAAATGCGGCTGTTGCTTCTTTTACCATTTCTGGTATCTCCTCTACAGAATCGTTCGAATCCATTTATTACAAAATTAAGCAATACTGTGGATATTCAGTTAATAAACCGGGATCGGTACAGTGGAATTAATTCTTTTTCAGGTCAGAACCATATCAAATCCATGAACATTAACTCCACTTTAACTGAATTGGGAATTGACTCTATGACGGCAGCTGAGATAAGGCAAGATTTGGAGAAAGAATTCGATATTCGTCTTACAGTAAAAGAAATTGGAACCATGACTATATCCAAGTATGAGTATATCCCTTTTTTATTTCTTTCAAATATATGTCATATTTGATGTTTAAGGTTGAACGAATTTCAAGAAGGAAAACGTCACACTTCTCATGGACCATAGAAGATGCACCGACAGAAAAGTTTCTGTGTTGTCAATATTTTTTTTACAGTAAACAGATGCTGGTATTGGACATAATCTAATAAATATAGTTTTTTTCAGAAACGAATAATATGTTCTTACATGTTAAACAAATACATGTATTTGATGGAGTGAATATATTTCTTGTTTCTCGAACTTGCCATGGGTTTCTAATAACAGTATAGAATAACCTCTAAGCTTCTAAAAATATGATAGAAACAATTAAGCAAACAAATGTATGTGCAAAGCACACTAGGACGAATTTCGCTGTAATATAAAAATAATTAACAAGCAAGATTTACCTGAAGACAAGTAATGCCAATTAACTTGATAAACGGGATTACAAACTACCAAAGCATACTCCAATTTGGATCTGACAAAACTGCTAAATACTTTAGAATCTTGCTGGCAAAAGAAACAGTCATTTCTGTATGTAGTAAAGTTCTGAAAAGTAATTTTAGAGTCAAAAATAGGCACCAAGGCATTTTATAAATTCAGATCTATCAAAGCACTACGATCAATATGATAATTATACATGATCTGTTAAGAATTCCCTGTGCAAATTATTTTCTAGGCACCATAAGTTTATCTGGTTCAAAAGCTTTTGAAGGTTCCTCGAAATCTTAACGTTTCTTATCTCCACAAATATGTGTTTTAATATCATCTGCATACGTTAAGAATTTGATCTTGCAGGAACTTACAACGTCATTAATAGATATTATGAAGAGAAGTGGCCCTAAAATGGAACCTTGCTGTACACTTAATAGCTGTTAAGTTATTTGACTATCAGAGGTCCCAAAGTTTTTTGTTTCGTAGATCACGTGCCACTTTCATCTGTTTTGGATAGACCCCCGCCTTTATAATATTGAATTGTTACAAATTCATCAACTTCAATTGTGCTTTTGACAGCTGCCAGTGCAAGTTGCAAGACCACAAAGCGAATAGCCCACTATACAATTTTTTGAAATAATATAATTACTTTACTGCGAAATTTATAATAAATCTTAAACTGTTTGATACACAAGGAGATAATAACTTAAATTTCAATAACCAAAGTACCTACAACAATAAATTTATAAGTAAAATGAAAAAGGTCGATTGTACTTAAGAGAATATTCTAGCAATTAGTATTAATTAAACTTCAAAGCAATTCACTTTGGGAATCATTGGTCTAGATCATAACTAAGATTCAAAAAGAAGTAGCAAGTTCTTTGATAGATCAAAGCATTTAATTTTTTTAACAATTTTATGGCCTTGTTTATCAAAAGCATTCGATAAGTCTACCTGTCCTTGTTGATCCAGTTTTTCGCTAAAAAATTGAAATGAAAAACTTAATATATACGTGCTCTAACTTTACATTAAGTGTTCGTTGCCACAATTTATTATACAAGCAACGGTAATATCGCCTTATAAACATCTCGAATACATAAAATAGACATTTTATAATTTCTTACAAGCAGACAAAGTCTAAATACGATATTTCTATACGTGCAAGAGGCCTACATTTTTGTTACTGACAGATAACATAATAAGACACACAAATGATCACCTTATAACTAAAACAACCAAACACAGTTTTGTACATGTTTATTTACAGATATATAAAAATAAAAATGTTGACACTTCAAAAATACGTATAACGTAATATTGTCGTTTATGAATGACGATGTTCTAGTTGCTATATTATAAAGTATATAGCGCCACAGAAAAGAAGTTGACTTGGCTATAGTCCAGACCAGTGTAGCCACAGTATTTTGATTCATTGAAACTGAATTTGAATTCAAAATGTCCGGATTGGCACTATGTTTTGAACCTAACTTGAACAAACTCCTCTAGAAAGCGATTACTACAGAAATCTATGAGACATACTGGACGGATCCCCTCTTTTTTGTGACGCAATGTTCTAGATTAGGGCAAGTACCTGTTTGGACTGTTTTCTGTCCGTCTCGTATAAATACGTTATAGGTAGGTACTCATTTTTGTCCCCTGATGTCTATATTTAAAGAACTGTAGTGTATAAGAATGATACTACCCGTTATAATAACAATAATGACAATAATAAAGAAAAATGAATACACACATTCCCTTGTTAAAAATAAAATCTAGCAAATTTAGCGTAGATCCAAAAAAATCCATTTCGTACACCTAACCTCATTTATTACGAAGTTGCTAGCTAAACAATTTAGCGTTTACCTTCATCATCAAATACAAATTAACTCCACGTTAGAGGTCTTTTAATATCTCATAAGCCGGGAAATGCGCGAAAGGCGTGGCGTATCCCCATAATTTTCTAATAAGCACGTTGTGAAAACATTGACTCAAAACTAGACCACGTGCATCATTACAAGTAGACATGAACTAAGGCGCTCGGGCATCAATAAAGTCAACTGGCGAACGTTCGTTATATATATTTTTATTGATTAAATTAAAATAATAAAGAATAGGGCATTTTATTATGATATTTGTAATCGGATCAAAGGCTTGTTTACGCTAGAGCTCGAGAGAGAGACTGTGAATAATAGGTGTAATGTTTTTAAGACGTAGAATAATTTAGGCGACGGTCGGAATTATGTTTCTGCGCATATGAAGGTCAAAGCTCATAAGATTTTAAAACATCTCTACCTGATTCCACCACCTCTATAGTATTATGGCGGCTGCGCATACGTTGTTTTTGGTAGTTATTGATTTTAATATTAATCAATGTCAATTGTAAATGTTTTTGTACAATATTCTTAAATATATGTTAATATTGGAAACACCGTTTGTATGATTTCTAATCCAGTACTTAACAAGTTGTGAGGTGCATAAGGACATCACAACCTCAAATAGAGGAACGCTGGGCACCGCAGCCGCATCTTACGGTCCAGTGAACCCCATGGGTCCAGACATAAGACCATAAGAGTAACTAAATAAGAGGTTTTTTTTCTGTGTCTTCTGCCGGCAGCAGTGGCAGAGTACGCCAGAGTAGAGCTGATGTGTAGTGAAACGACACACACAGACCATAAAATAATTAAGGAAACTGCATGGGAAAACACAAATAGAATAACCTCTAATTCTACTATCTAATAGAATACGCTGCATTATAATGGCGGTAAATCTAAACGTAATAAAATACACAGAGTATTTCATAAGTAATAGATCACAAAACAGCTACTAATAGTTGAAGTTAATAATTAAAATTAACATGAACCATTAACAGCTGTTCCATGACCCATTACTTCTGAAACACTTTAATTATCACTTGGTTAAATGAAAAAGTTAAATCAGTGATTTTTAATGTAAAAAATTTCATTCTGATATGAATTAGAAAATATTTAAGTATCAAAAAATGTACAGGGAGACTTGTTATTATTATTATTTTTAAGAAACCATTAAAATGTGCAAATTTTAAAGAAGTGTTATTAAAAAATTATTTACCTGCTTTATGTAAAATAATATTGCACAGTTACTTGCCAAAAATTATGACTAATAACATTTGTTTCGAACTAATTGGTTCTCATCAGTACGATGTACTTCTGATTTCTTTTATATGTGGGAATTGAAGTACTCGTAGTATATAGGACAAGACCGCAATGCTGGAATTATTTCAATTAACAAAATTTTTAGATCCTTTGTTTTTATAACGTCTTTTGTGAAATAATACGCGATAGGTTGCTTCCAATGTTTTCTAATACCAAAAACACTAGAGCATGATTTGCTACCTCATTTTGTCTACCCAGGGACCCAAGATCGACATATCCCGTTACTTGATCTTTACAAGTGTCATAATTTAGATTTAGACCAACAGAGCTATTTCATCAAATACTAAACAACAAACTTTATCTCTTGTAATCATTTTACTAACACGTTCTGATAACACAGGCCGACAAAATTTAAAAAAAAAATTCTAGAAATCAGACACTATGCTTCCGAAGGCATTTGGAAAAAGCTCTATTTTTCGCGGAGATATCGTCAATTTAAGATGACCAGTATGGCTATATTATTACATCATGGCTAACCCCATAACACTGAGCGCTGCTAGCCCTAATTGTTAGGAACGTTAACCCCAAGCCCTATAACCCCACAACACTAAACGGAGCAAGCCTTCATCGTCAGGAAGGTTAACTTCAAGCCCTATATGTCTGGAAGGTTAATCCCAAGCCCTATTGGGTTATTGGGTTATTTGGGTTATTGGGGTTAACCTTCCTGACATATAAGGCTCGTAAAGCTTAGTGAAATTGTGTTATAGGTCGAGCCATGGTAATAAGGTAGCTATACTGATCATCTTTAATCGACGATATCTCCGCGAAAAATAAAGCTTTTTAAAAATAAAAAAATGTGTTTTGAAGGGGAAAGATAGTAGTTTCCAATGATATTTTCAGTTTTGAGAAAAAAAATTTTTCGCCAAGTTACATAACCTTGAAAATAGCAAAAATACGTGTTTTTTGCACTTTTAGGTTAGAATATCTCGGAAACCTAGGGTGATGGATCAATTCTGAGGCCAGATTCGGATTCAGCGCGCCAAATGCCTTCGGAAACGTATTGTCTGATCTCTGGAATTTTTTCCTTGTTGGCCTGTGTAATTTACGTAACAACTTTTCATGTATCCCAACATTTAAAGGTATTTGGCCTAAATATTTCCTTATGGAAGATTTAGAGGGCAGCACAAAAAAAACCTGTAGCACCTTGGCCCACGTTTGTAAATCGCTAAAGCAAGTGCTTTATTTTCTGAATTATAAATAGGTCGTTTTAAATTTTACTCCTACTGGATCAAGATGTCGACTTAATTTTGCAAATAAATTAGAATAGGCGATACTACAAACATGAGCTAAATTACTTTTACATTTTAATAGTTTCCTTTTTAATTTCAGAATCTGAATTTTCTGTTGACGATCTAGATATTACATTTTTTTATGTTTATCTGAAAGTTGAGATATTCTCTTAACATTCATAGTTTTTAAAAATGTTCTTTGTTTATTATTTGACATGACCAGTATTTGATTCCTCTTCATTGAACTTGCTATCAGTAATCTCAGTAATGGTCCTGGTGCTCGCAGTAGCGCTTGTAGGAAATAACAATTTTGAATACTTAGGTGTATTTCGGTTTTTTAAAAGGTGGAGGTGAAAAATTATCCGATTTTGAAGTTTGGCAGCTCGTACTCTGAAAATTCTTTAATGTTACGTTAACAAATTGTTTTGCTGAATATTGGATACTATCCAAGGATTCCAAGGTGATATTATTACAATTAATAATAATTAAAAATAATGTCGGCAGAGCATTTCTGTTGAGACTATTCCTACCAACTGTTTTTAAAACATTTTAACTCAAAATGGTCTTCATAAAAATAATGATCTGTGTTTGTCGGAGTAAAGTCTGATTTACATAATTTTCGAACAGATTCTATCCACAGTAATTGTCTGTCTTTTGTAATTTTTAAAAAACTTTTATTTCTATAGGACGCATTACAGACATTCATATAGTAAGTGCTTTTGCAATTTGGAGCACAACATTTACGTGTAGTTCTACCAGGTAAACTCATTTTGAATAAAAAAAAGAATAAAAATACAGTAAGGCAGTTCAGATGACTAATTCAATAAATCCCTTATTACATTAATCTAAAACAAAACAAATTTATTAATGCACAAAACGCGGCAACCTACCTGAACTGAAGATAAACTATAACCTCAAACCTCCAACATTCCACGTTGATTGAAATATTTCAGTCAACGCATTCTATTTCTGTTGATTGAAAGCTTGGAAATACAGATTCGATCTGTGGTTGCAGATTTCTGTTTAACAATTTCCATAAAGGACAATGTTTTGCTACAACAACGTGAGATGGCCTCAGTGAATGCTTGTTCGATCCGCCCTATCCCATAAAAGCCTCTTATTTAGTTACTCTTATGAGTCCAGGCGCATATAGGAGTATGACTCCATCAGTATTAGGTAGGTGTGTATTTGGTAAATACGCTGATAAAAAAATTTATTAAATTTAATTAGAACAGAAGATGTTGTTAACAAAGGTTAGAATTTATCTGCAAAGGAGATATAAGAAGAAGAAAGGTTGCTGTTCTCCGCGCTTGGGTGACTAAGGTGGGGGAATTATTATTATACAACAGACTTGCAGTATACGTTATAAGTCAGTAAAGTTATCTCTACAAACTACAAAATAGCGTAGTTGGCGGTGGCTGCAGGAAATGGAAAATTGGCAATGCACGCAGTAGTACATGTCCGATCTTTGTCTTTTTAAATCTATGGTGTAAACCGTATCAAGAAATATTTTTCAAAGCGAAAAGTCAGTGGGCATTAAAAAATCACCTTGATTTTCACTAAACCCGTCGATAGGTATGTGACCCAGGGTGACATATGAAACCGCCTTCATATTGGTGAGACATTCTGGTATAACTGCAGTTACCTAAAAATTCAAAACACTAACTGGCTCAAGTGTTTAAGATTAAAAAATGGTATAGACTTTTTTTGAGTATAAAAACTTTAACTCACTTCTAGTTTGGTTTCCTGACTGAAGAGTTTGCATTGATCGAAATTGGGCACCTGAGCAGACTGAGGAATTTCTAAATTAAGATCGTAAGACCGCTGACTATGTGCCGCAACGCCTGTATAACTGTTAATTGCTAGTAACTCGCGGTTGCTCTTGCCTCTGTCTGTTGAGGCAGAAACCTTGGACTTAATTTTCTGAAAAGAGAGAGAAGTTGATCAGGACTTGAACAAAGTCACTTAAAAGAGATAAGTAGTGTTTTATTTATCAATATAAGTCTTCTCTGGTAATTACTGAATTTTCCTCAGTAGCAAATACTTTTAATGACAGAGATTGAAGCTAACTAGAAAGATACATAAGAAATTAACTTACCATTATCAAATTAACTAGAACGCTCTCAACTCTTTCGTTGGACATATTGTCTATATCTACTCTCAATTTTGCCACTTCCCCCACCACGAATGCTTCTTTCTCTAGATGTACTTCCATGGTTATGGGACCACTTGCGCAACACCAACAACATACGGTCTTGTCAGTAGAGTAACAAATTGGTTTCTAGTGCATAATAAACAAATTACGTTGTGAATGATGAATATCGATGTTATTTTACTTATTTACATTTGGATAGGAAAAAATGTATTAGGTTTACTACCAAGGCATCAAGAAAGTCACGTAGAAACGACAGATTACATTGCTGAAGTAATTTGTTAATAGCAATTTTATAATTCTTTTGGCACTATACAAAATTCTTTTACCTAAATTTACAAGAGCGTTTGAAGGAGCTGTCGTAGGACCTATATTCATATTTAAAAAAGAAACATCAACAACAACATGACACCATCATTGTCACACCAGATGACGTTATATACAGGGTGTGGCGTGTGTAATCTATAAAAATTAAAGTACAGCTTCCTGATAATATTTGTAATAGAAAACTCTTATACGAAAAAGTTCTATCTTCCAGTTTTTTTTTTGTAAATTAAAGTTCATTTTTCAACGAAAATGAATGCCGACCCTGTGTTAATTATTAAAAACTTTGAAAATATTTTTATGCGACCCAAGATGCAACCTCATAATTTAAGTCGGTATAGTCTAATACTAGTAATACTAAAAGAAGGTTAGGTTACATTGTCAAAAAATTTGTGCAGTCAACTGATTTTGTATTTGTACTGAATTCATTATTCACATAATTATTAAATATTAAGCATCGTCTTTTTGTTTTGTAATTCCACTATAGTGGCAGTGTAATTTTTATAAAGAAGTAAAAAATAAGAATTACATTAAAAGTGAGATTTGTATTTCCTACTTTGCTTAATTTTTTAGTTTCTGCACAAACTAGTTTTACAATGAACTGAGAAAACAACTTTGCTATTTGCGAACGTGTCGGTATGGTGTTAGTATATGGTGCAGCCGGAGAAAATGCGCTCTTGGTGACTAGGTTGTACCGTGAACGATGGCCACAACGTCACCCCCATGTGCAAATACAATCCTACAGTGGGTTCAGCGACTGCGAGATACAGGAAGTGTTATTCCTCGAGGAGAAGGACGTGGTCAGCAAGTGAACCTTAATGTTGAAGATGCAGTGTTGGAAAATCTTGACGAAGACCCCACAATTAGTACTCTCGCACGGCAAATAGGAACCTTATCTCGTACCGTGCATCGCATCTTAAGGCGCTAGCTGTTGCACCCCTATCATCTGCAACCAGTTCAACAGATTTTACCCCCGGATTGTGATCAACGAATGCGTTTTTGCAGATGGTTTTTACGGCAATGTGCCAATCAAGTAGACTTTCCTGCTTATGTTTGTGTAACAGATGAGGAAACATTTACCCGTGATGTAGTGAATTTCCATAATATGCACATATGGGCCGATGAAAATCCTCACACGATTAGGAAAACTCATTTTCAACATCGGTTCTCGGTAAATGTTTGGGCTGGCCTAATAGGCGATGTACTTGTATTTTATCTTGAAGATGGGGCTCCTCCACACAGTACTCGAGAAGTAACGACACTTTTGAATGGAATGTTTCCTCGGCATTGGATTGGACGTTTTGGTCCTGTGCCGTAGCCACCTCGGTCACCCGATCTAAATCCAATGGACTTTTATCTTGGGAGTCACTTGAAGTCATTGGTTTACAATTAATTGCTACGGTGGCAGAATTACGAAACCGTATACTTAAAGCTGCTGACACAATTAGGGGAAAACCTGGAATTTGGGAAAATATTCACCAAAATTGGTGGCGTTGGCGTCGGTGCCACGCCTGTATCCGCGCTAATGGGGATCAATTTCAACATAGAAATGGTAAGTTTTATTTCATTTTGTTTGTCATAGGGATGTGGTTTTGTTTGCGAATTCTTGCAGTAGCAACAATGCATTTAAGATAGTAATTACTGTTAATTATTATAATAAGAAAATATCAGTTTTTTTTTTAAAATATATATTTTTCTTAGTTTATACTTTTGCATTGAAAAATTCCCCAAAAATTGAGAAGTATCTTTCTATTTTTCAACAACGATTTGTTTACGCGGCTGGTCTACAACACGTAACATCGCACAGCACACGCAGGACCGTTCCGGAGGAAATATTTTGATCTATAATTGAACTTTAATTTACGAAAAAAAAACGCAAAAATAGAACTTTTTCGTGTAAGACTTTTCTATTACAAATATCGTTAGCAAGCTGTAGTTTAATTTTTATAGATTATACACGCGACACCCTGTATAAAACCAATATTTCGCATCACGCACTTTTAGAAATAAAAATTGACCTCTTTCAGGATTTTTATATAAAGTCGCCGATTTACAAAATAATGAATTTATTTCGTTCACTTGCACCCATACTAATATACAGGGTGATTCAGTCATAATGTCATTAACTTTAACCATGTATTCGAAAGGCCTAATAAAGACAGAAAATGAAAAACAAAAAAAAGATAATCAAATGCGGTGGCGGATTATAGAACGTCCGAACGTTGAAGAGAAACAGCTGATATCCCCAATTTTGCAATTTTTCCAAAATCAGTATGCAGCGGATCCCAACTTTATTAACAAAGTGGTATGGACGGATGAGTGAGTGTTTTTTTTAGATGTACTGTAATATTAAATGGGTAGGTGCCACACTACTCTTTAAAAAGCAATAAGTCACACAATAAAGTATATGTACTACAAACTGAATAATTAATGGAACATAATAGTCCAGTCATTATAACTTTTTTCGGGAAAAAAATACTATTAGAAGTTTCTCTGCGGAATATTATTCGGAAACGTGTTATAAACAAAATATCAAAAAATCTACTCGAGACTAGTTGAAAAACTTTATTTAAACAATGGTCAAAGTTATGGAAAAGTGGTTTTTTGAGTAGCGTAAAAAAACTGTTACTCAGCGAAAAAAGGATTATACAAAAAAGGTAGGTATTAAATAATTCTTTAAATGAGACAAGTCCGATTAATTTCCGATAACTTGTTTATGCGCGAGAGCTCAAAAATGGTCGAAAATGGCCGTTTTTTCAATTGCTAATAATTAATGCAATTTTCACCAGACACTTGTAATTCAGGATTATTTAAGCTCTATGCACCAATAAGTGGTGAAAATTTCAGCCCGAAAGCTTCATTAGTTTGGCGTTGGCGGAATTTGTTATCTAAAATGACCCTTTTTCCCAAGCTCACAGGCGTTGTAGAGTTTCGATCATTAGTTGCGTTTGTACCTAAATAGTTGTATTGACATATGAAAATATAGCACCTAATGTATACTCTCTCCAAATTTCGGCTCTTAATATTAATAATTAACGTTACAGCGATTGAATAAAAAACAATTATCTCAGCTTCTAATCAACTTAGAATAACGATTTTATTTAAATACGAAGAAAAATAGTACTAACTAAACTATAGAGGTTACTATTTCATTTTATAATAATTACCTATCTTAACAATTTAATAAATATTTAAATTTTTTCAGTAATTTTTATAGAAATTAAATTTATAAAATTTAATTCTCAGAAAATGCATATGTCAATACAACTATTTAGGTACAAAAGCAACTCTACAACCACGTAATTAAGGATAACCATCACGTAATTAAGGATAACCGTCACGCGAAAAAGGATAATATTTTTGACAACTCAAACCAAGATTACAGTATTTCATTCTATTATTCAGCCACATTTTGATTACTGTGCATCAGTTTTATATATGTTTAATCTTCATCAACTGAATCAATTACAAAAACTGCAAAATCGTGCCATGAGGATCATACTAACAGCAAACCGCCGTACACCGATAGTAAATATGTTAAAAACTTTAAATTTGTTGTCAGTTGAACAGAAGTTGTATTTCTCAACTATGGTTTTTGTGTATAAAATAGTTAACGGATTGGGACCAGAATATTTCAGTAAATATGTTGTTTTTGGTGGGGATGTCCATCATTATGATACAAGAAATAATAGAAACCTATATATTTCTAAAACAAATTATAGAGGTACAATGAATTCTTTATTCTTTAAGGGTTTTAATGAATTTAATAATCTCCCTCTAGAGGTAAGAAATGTGGAGTCCTTGAATTCCTTTAAGTGTAGACTAAGAAATTTAATTAACTGATTATTGATGGCTTATATATATATATAT